GCAGATCAGTCCTGATATAGCTTCTTTATTTGAAATAACTCCCATATATTACTAATAATGAGAAATATATTGTTTTTGCTACAAATAGGATATAAATTAAGTTTTTATTTGTTAATCAAGAAACTATATCACATCGTTTCAATAAGATCCACAATTTTGTCATAGTAGATGATGGACTGTGAGAGATGGGGCCGGTACAAGGTATAAAAGAGTCGGTTTTGAATTCGTACGCCTTCTACTCGGCTTCTTTTTATTTTCCTCTGTTTTTGTTGCACATTAGCATTGCTAGGTAGGTGCTGCGTTTGACTGCATTTGGTAAACATGTTGACGGCTTTGGGGCCAAGTGTGATAAGTGGTGAGCGCTAGGGACACGCCCTAAATGTCTGGCACATTAATCATGTTAAGACAGCATTATCTTCACACTTGTGATTACACGCTGTTGTTGCTATTGTTGCTGGCACGGGTAGTGACAATTTGCAAATTGCAGCAACTTTAATTGAAATTTACAACAGGCACATTCACACAGATGCACACACACACACACACACACACACACAGGCACAAATACACGTATGCTTAACACTAATGACTTAATTCCCGTTAAGCACGCAGGCAGAGCTGCGAATGAATTGAATGAATGAATGAATGCATGGAGGAGAGACACCCCCGCTGTGGCCGCTTCTAAGCAGTTCTTACTACTATTACCTACCCTCGTTGCTGCTTTCTGTCCACCGGATGTCACTGACTGAACGCCCTCGCCCCCGCCCCCGCCCCCTCCCCATTCCGCCATAGAGTGTGATTCATAATTTCGTTTTATGGAAATGCAAACATGTTGTTGCATGACAAGCCAAGCTACAAAGCTGCCAAGCTGCCAACCTACCGAACAACCAATCAACCCCCCGACGACGTTGTTCTTTGCCGTGTCATGTGGCGCATGCAGCGATGGACTCTCAAAGATCGGGCCACCAACCGTTGTTGTTGGCTAAAGCGCACGAGCACTCAAGTTGAAAAGCCCGAGCTTAAACGGCATTATCACAGCATGCGCCATCGGCCAAGTCTTTCCAGGTCTTTCTGTTTCTGAGGCTCTTCTTTTCACTGCTCCGACCCGCATTTGGGTTTCGTATTTTCGCCATTGTTGGAACTTGGCAGACGTTGCAATCGCACCCCTCGCACCCCTCCCCCAAACCTCTTCGCCTCCTCGCTTGAGAAATTGCGCAATTTATTGCAGTGTGTGTGTTCCCTTTGGCTCTCATTGCAGTAACATGTTAATATCGCGATAAGAAACAGACAGTTGCCAGTTCGGGGGAGTCGTGGCAGTCGCGGCAGTCGAGGCAGTCGATGAACCTACTTAGATAAGCGCCCGCCCACTGCCCTAGCCTATTAGTCGCAGCCCCTGCTAATAAATCAGCGCCTATACATAACCATTTACCAATAAACATTTGTGTTGTTATCACGCAAGGAACCACATGTAACCCCCAATAAACACGTACTACTTGTATTCCAAAAGCAGGCCATTCCGACTAGCGTTAAACGGGCAATTACAATGCCGGCTTGCCCTGCCTGCTTGTAGGCCATATTGATTTCTGAATAGTACAAGTAATAGACATAAAAACATAATACATCCACGACTTGCCTCGACTTCCTTGCCTCTAGAGCCATTGAACTAGTCCATGCAACACGCACGCCGCACAGCGCCAGATTGAAGCTTGTGCTGCTCGTTGTCGCTCATTACTCAACGAGGGTAGCATTGCGATGTTGTGGCTGCAGCCGTTGCAGCAGAGTCGTGGTCGTAGTCGTCGTAACAAAGGACTATACATGTTTGGGAAGTTTTTAGGCCTAGTATTCATACCCTATGTGCACGAGCATATGGATTTCGCCCCAAAATACAGCACCAATACGGTGGTGTTTCGAACGCAAATGATTTTTAATTCGATGCTTCAACCGGAATCCAATTCCGCATATTCTGAAAAGCGATTGATGTTTATTAATTTTCGAAGTGGCAATCATTCGCGCCTAAAATAGAAAACTTTTCTCAAGTTCTATTCGCGATAATTTCATGGAATTCAGAAACGTGTTCATCCCACTAAATACAATATCTATATATTTGTGCTATACCGTATAATATGAACCAATGGTAAAGCATTGCAGCCAATTTCGTTTTATATTTTGTTTAAAAATAACTCCGAGAATTACGAAATAGACTTTTCTTATCTTTATACTACCCGGTCAGGCCTGAAAATTATATTACTGAATGAGAGCTAAGAATGTTAATTCTTCATAAACAAATACATACATGTAGTCATCAAAAGAGAGAACAATATTTTATTTGAATTGTTCTTTAATTTCGATTCTGACCATTATTCCCTTTATGGGCATATTTGAAGAAACCTGGATCGTCTGATGTCCAGTCTAATTAACTTAGGCGTACAAAGAGCATTGTGAAGTCGTATAGAGGCTAGAAGGCTAAATCGCTTACCCCTGTTTCCTAGTTGTTTGTACAACTTTAAGCAGCTGAATAATTGAAAATGCTCTATTTTGCTTCTGAAGTTTTCGTTCGCATTTTTTATTCGCCGACTTTTGTTGAGTTATTGAATAGGGCGTGCACCAGGCCCAACCCCTCATCCAGGTCCTGCGCAGCCGTGGGCATAACTTTTAGTGCGCCGTCATGGCCGACGCTTAACCGCAATTAAACGTCCTCTCCTTCTTCTGTTTGCTAACTTATGCCTTTATTTTACTGTCTGGGTAATTTGTCTTGCCACCCTGCCAATTGAACGAGCGACTCGCGCCGTAGATCGGACCCCTCATGAAAATTAGAAATGTCAGCTTTTGAAGCCGAAATTACTTTGGCCCTAGGCGGATTTTGCACTTCATGTGGATTTACATATGTCGAGTTTCTTTTTGTTAACGGTTTTATTGCACAAAAAGTCAAGACGCAGCAGCTGTCGATTTAGCTTCGCTTAATATCAGGTTGCCATTACAATTCATGCTGGTAGTCTAGTCATCATCATCAACATCAGCAGCAGCAGCATGAGATCTTTACAAATTCATCGAGCGTCTAATGCCTTCAACAATTTCGTTTGCCGCTTGTTGTAATCTGATCCCCCCGTTACATTAACCCCCCTCCCAGTATTAAATTTCCACTACTAATAGCCGCATACATTTTCTTTTTCTTTCATTTGGAATTGGTCGTAACGGCTAGGCTCATTGCTCATAAACTTGTTCGCTCGCGCCCATAACTTGGGCCATTTGGTGCACTTTCCTTCAAATGATGTTATATATTTCCAACCTTAATTAGCACAAGTTTTCACTTGAGCATTTTTTCATTGCCGCCGACTCAGGTTCTGCCAACCAAAATGCGCGAAATGTCTCCGTTCGACCAAATTGCTCGGCTGTTTTATGGGCGCTGGCCGGGCAGCTATATTGTAATAAACTTTATGGCCGTTTTGTGTCAAAACGAGCCGTTGGGCAAAAAGTTTTTTGGAAATTAGCGTGCCAAAATTTTGCGACAAGGGGTGGCACGGTTGAGAGTAAGAGTAGATCAATGAAATGGAGGTTGACTGGGCCCATTAAAATATTTCAATTAGCATAAAATACAAATATAGCTCTTAAATTATACTACTATAGAAGCATGACACTATCTTCTATTTCTCTTTCTAATTGGACTGCTTCGAAGGAATCCGAAATGTTGGAGGGCAATGGAATATAATAGAAACAACTTGAACAATTCCCTTTTTAAGGCAGTACTCTTACTTGTATTCAAATTTTAATTCCTACCAATTCTGAAGAAGTCAAGTATTTTTTATAATATTAATTATTGAATCCCTCAGTTTCAAGTTCAATTCTTTTTGATCGCGGACGAATATTCCATTCTTTGAAAAAGTAAATTCGTTTCTTACCCACTAGTTCCCATAAAGGAAGATTGCCTTCAATTAAAGGCATATCGTCCTAGAAATGTTCGTTTTCAAGAGTAGACAAATAAGGTTTCAGTTTAATTTATTCCCAACCTCGCCTACACACTTGTATGTATTATTTGGCCATCAAAACTGATTATCAGTAGACGCCTCTTTGCAGCGTTTGGCCGCTTTTTTAGAGGTCTGTCCGTCCGCCCATTCGAGCAACCACTATACCTACAATTACATGTTATATTTTAATTATTGTGCTGTTTCTGTTTGTACTTTTACTGCGGACAGTCGGATAAAATGAAACAAAAAGTGGAAATTGGCACAAGGAAAGTGTGAAAAGAAAATAAAGCAGCAACTACATACTATACTGTAGCTGGGCAACTAAAAACAAGGCTATAACGCAAATCGGTAGCTTTTTGCTATGGCTTATGGTCGGCTACAGCAGCAGAGTGTTGTGGGCCAACAGGGGTCATGAGCTAAATATCAAAGGCCATGTGTTCATTATAGTTTATGAGCCTACCAATGGCCACATCGGCCGACCGGCCGGCCGGAACAGTTCCAAGGCTTTTTGTGCCCAAAAGTTAGATGGTTGCCAACTTTTTGACTGCGTGGCCCGGCAAATCAGTTGGCACAACCTTGGATTTGACAAGGGTATTGGTATTCACAAGTGTGGGTGAATTTGCGAAATTAATGTCAGACTGGCATGCCAATTCGGAAAACTAGCCACCTCCCAATCACTCCAATTCTCTCCGATTATGAACTAGTTAGTCTAATTGGTTGCACCAGCACCAGGGCCAGCACCAGCACCACCACCAGCACCACCACCAGCTAAGAGTGAGTGGTTGTGCCAATTTCAAAACGTTCCGCTGCCGCCGGCATTCGAAATGCAAATCTCTGGTCATTGCGCTCCAATTTGCAGCGAAGCGTGGCCAAGTTGGCGCATCGCACGCCATACCAACCAACAATATGGCCACAGTGGTGGTCAGCCTTAGAGTTTGCCTTCTCCAGTAGTGCAATAACTATTAATTAAATGTAATTACTTGTATAATGCAAACGAAATAATGTTTTCCCCTCCATCTATCTATCTGTCTCTTTCAGAAATACGCCATCAACAATTCCGCCTGAACATGTCGCGCGACTACGAACTGAGCAGCGTTTCGCAAGATGATCCCGCACTCATAGCATTCCTGCGCCAAATCCACATGCGCAAATATCCCATGCATCCGGGGAAGGGCACGCCGGGTGTGAAGGCTACCCCCGCCGGTAGCTTCGGCCTGGAATCACAGTCTGGCAATAGCAGCGGCACCGATGGCCTTGCCCCCGCAATGGCCCACTATGTGTCGGATTTGGTGGGCGGCAAGCTAAATGGTGCTGTCATACAATCGCTTACTGGACCGCTGGCCCACTTGATTACGGCGCCCTGGTTCAGCGAACAATTGGATTGGATGGGCGTGCTAGTAGAGCCGGAGCCGCGCTGGTATTTTACATTGCGCAAACAGAATGCGCAACGCGCTCACATGCAAGTGGTACACGCGTGCGTCTCGCCGAACACTTATCCCAAAGAGGTAAGCTTATACTCTATCCAAGAACTTCTATAAATGCAATTCACAAAAAGAGTGATATTTGATTTATAACAAAGAACTTATAACAATTTAAAGTTGAAAACATATAGTAGTAATATACAGTATTAGACATGCAGTCAATAAATTCAGTTTTAAGATTAATGTTCCGTTGAAATTTCATAAACTGAGGAAGCAATTTATTTATTTCCCTGTCAGCTAAAAAAATGAACCGTTCCATTCCATTGAGTTTCTGTTAGATTAGTATTTCTTACAATCGATTGTTTCTTTTCTGTCTTGTTAACGATTTATTTACATGTGTTATTTAATGTCGACTTAAAGTAGAACCAGAATATCATTTTTCCACGAGAATAAGGTATACATTGAGCCTGTTCTGATAAAAACGAACAATCTCTAGTGTTTTTCGTTTTATTCGTATGTTTCAAATTTCATTTGTTTCAGTGTGAAATCTAGTTTTATTTATTTCTGCAACTAAATAAAGCTCTTCCTATGTGTGCCTAGATTAAGAAAATATATGAACTCAATGAGGAGATTTTTAAGCAACAGAAAATATTGCAGAAATGCGAAATAATTAAATGGGTTTAGAAACGCAAAATGTAATGATCATTGCTCCAAAACTGTTTGTAATATTTCCATTAACTTCCCATATTTCAATTGAAAGATAATTTCGCTTCGATATAAATGAATAAGTACTTGCGCCAAAAAAAGAAAGCTCTTCTAGGTTATACAAATATCATACTGTGCTGCACCTTTCGCTTGTTGCATGACTCGAGACTAACGTGTCGTCTTCCACAGATTACCATACACAATGAGGATGTGCGCATCAATAGTCTGCACGATGAGGAGACCTCGTGGTTCAATTCGCGTGTCAAATGCTTTCCGCTCTACACAATCATGCTGGCATGTGAGCGCACCGAATACGATTTGCTCAGTCTGGGCGTGCAGGGGCATGAGCTGGAGGTCAGTAAACCCATCGCTAACATTTGATCGCTTTAATCTAAACCCTTGTCTATTACAGATCTTGCAAACGCTGCCTTTTGACAAAATCAGAATCGACATCATCTCGATACATTTGCTTGAGGATCACGAGGATGTGCACGACTACGTGCAGAGCATAACGAAGTTCCTGGCGGGGAAATCCTATAAATTACAACGCAAGTTCGGTCGCAACTATTTCTATCAGCGCCTCAATGCGGCAAGTCGTACGCGCAAAAAAGATATTCTCCTCCTCAAGACGCCCTAGGGAGCCAGACACAGCGACCGAGACGGAGAAAGCCGGAGAAAGGCAACGACAACAATAATAAGAGAAGCATCTGAAACAACGAAGATGAGGCAGCACACTGACTAAAGAAAATTAGTGAAGACACGCGTTAACTGTTATAAAATGATACTAAACTAAACTAAATACTTAAAATTAAAAACAAAAATTGAAAAACTATCGGCGAACAAAAAGTACAGCAACAAAAATTTAATAACTTTACACTAAAAAAAACAAAACCAACAATCGCGAGCAACGTTTATGTTAATGATAATTATTATATATAAAAGCTATATATATATATATATAACGCATAACGATATATACATATAAATATGAACATATATATTGTATACCACTTAGTTTCTTAGCCTTGTAAAACGATCTTTTCCATAATTTTCCCCCTTTCTGTTTTGTCAAAATTGTTCTTTTGTGCTAAGTGGAAAAATATTACAAAACTAGTTTTTGATTTTTTAAACAAAATTGTGTTTAATGCACATTTCTAAAAATATACCTACATACAAACATACTTGATATATTATAGCTATGGTCGTATTATGATTTGCTATAAGCTATGCTATAAATGTTAAGCTAGGCGTGCCCAAAATTTGTATCTTTATTATTATTATAATTTTTTTGTATAAATTCAAGATCTGCAACAACTTGTGGCAACAATTTGCTAAATGTAGTGCATATAGTGCGTTCACATTGTAACTGTAATGGCTTTGCTAGCGCTCATTATCCAAGTTTATGTCTAAATCGAATGCTTTATCTAATAATTTATAAGTCAACACACAACACTATACCTATATCTATATATACAAGTAAACTAATTTTTAAACTGCGCAAAGCCGAAAAGCGATACACACAACTAATGGTGTTCAATTAGCTGGCAGCAACCAACAATAAAACTTATAATATTTAACGATACAAATATTAAATTATTGAACCAAAACAACTACATACATTCATACACACAACACATACACACCCCAAATATTGTACCCTCGCAATAAATAAATAAACGAAAGAAAAACACGAGCTGCTAAATCTGCTTTCAAAACTCATCTCATATTCATAGCTAAATAAAAATAAGCGCAAGAAAATGCACAATTGATACGAAATCGATCAAAGAACAAATATATAAATACGAGGCAGCATTCGCAACACAACAAATAATACTTATAAATTAGATTGAAAGGCATACACCTAAAATTGAGATTCATTCACCAACTCCTCTCCCTCTCTCACACACACACACACACACACACACACAACAAACACATACACTTAATATGTAGTAGAAAATAATGTAAATGTGGCAACTCTCTAAATTTAAATATGTATTTTCGATTACATTTTAGTAATTATGTATAATTATGATTTGTTTTTTATGTAAACAAATATAATTGCTGCAAACTCATCATACACATAGTCTTAAAAAAAAAAACACACACACACACACATATGTAGAAAAAAAGATAACAATTGGTGACGGTTGTTGGAAGTGCAGAAAATTTCAAACTCGCTGCGCCTCGCCCATACACACACACACACACTCACACGCACTAAAAGGTATAATAGAGTGAAAAATAAAAAAAAAAACAAAAAAATATTGCATGGCTTAGCAAATTGAAGCGAGTCGGTTCGAATCGCATGAATACTATAATCAGTGCCTTCTTCTTCTACTTACCAATTAGACTTTAAAATGGAAGCCACGTTAAGCTTTTACATTTAAATACACTTAGACTTATGAAAATGAGAGCACATTTTTTTGTTGTTGTACAACAACCATAACCGTCACTTTGTTGTTACTTTTTGCCGCCTGTTCAACTTGCCTTATCGATATTAGTAGAAGAGCGAAGCAGCAAAATAAAACTTCGAGCATTGTTAGAGTTCATTTGGAGAGATATTCAATCTAAATTATATAATGGAGAACAACTACATCCAAATGAACCACAATGCTTGAGATAAATTTGATATTTTCAATACTCTTATTACACACAAACACACAGTTACTAAGAATCCGTCACAACTTGATTACTCGCTTTGTAAAAACCTCGTCTAAACTACTACAAACATACACACATAGACAGACACACAGACAGACACACACACACATCACTCGCCCCTAAGTGTAAGCCTAGAAGGTAATGCCTGTTTTAAGCATAATTGTAATTATGTATTTAGTTGTATTTTTTGTGTAAATTAGTGCTTAAACCAATTCTAAGTAGGCTAAACATACAATAATTATTTTTGATTTGGCCTTTGTCATAATCACACACACACACACCCACATACAGACACACACATACACATTTTTGCATAAACGAGGACAAAAAAAGAAAAGGCTTACTCATGCTTAAGTCGAAATTATATAGAAATTGTATTTAAAAACTGCATACATTAAGCATGACAAATTTATAGTGAATATAAATAAAGTAAATATGAAAAATTCCAAAAAAAATCTATATAAATATGGTCATTAATTTGTAATATTTTTATTTTTATTTGCAACCGCTTAAAGTCTCATCACATCCTCAAACCATTTCAAGCCCCAATTCAATCCCCAAATTATTTCCTGAAGAATTTGATTATGGACGAGTACTCGTACTCGTACTCGTATTCCACAACCCAAACTGAAATTATTTATCTTATGAATACGATGACTTCAAAGCTACTGAACTCTACAATGAATACATATTCCTAACAACTGATTGTATAAAATCTGTGGAAAAAATATACATACTTATACTATAAAGTGAATCAAACTGATGCAAGCCAAGTATGTTGAATATACCTAAGGAAATGTTAGCTAGGCACTATCCTACCATGCGATTTGAAGCAAGCCTATAATTATGAAATTTATATACATACTATATATGCAAACTCAAACAAAATTTACACAAATTCAATAAAAAAAAAATAAACATTTACATGAAATGTAAAATGGCAATGGTCCACCTTTATTTCAGATTCACCTGCGAGTTGCCAAGTGAGATTTTGAATGTCTTCGAGGTCCCTAACTAGGTTTATTTTAGACTATAGGGTTTACTCAGGTATTGAATAAGTGCAGCTTAAAAAGGCATTGCAATCAGGTCTAACCATTATGCTAGTTTGCATTTACTGGATTTGTTATCAGAGATTATACATTTCTTGAAGGAGAATCCATTTCACTTGTTCGGAAAAGCAAACATGAAATTGGAGAGGGCACACTCTTGTTCACCATCAACTCGTTTTAAATCAGAGGAATGAGAACTTTAAGACCAGCACATATCGTGGGTTCTTTCAACTCTCTTGAAAGGTATGGTACATATATCTGTACCGATTCTGAGACGACGAAATAGATTCTGAAGCTCTTGAATTCCAGGTATGATACAAAATATGTGTTGTGTCATCTGCTGCGCTGGGACCGACTTATTAAAAGATATCTCGCGTTTTGGTAAATAAATTTATTATCATGTAAGTAATTCTATGAAAATATGGAATTATTCGTGATTGTCTTACATAATTAAATGGATTTTACTTTTATAGCTGCTTACAACAAAATGTTGTAGAAACTTTAATAAATTATTTGGGGCAATAGAAATTCTGTTTACTACATAATGCGAGATCACATATTAGACGATTTTTTTTATTTGGCCTAATTTCGAAACTATTCTATCCAAGTCAGCCATAATCGAAGCCTTAAATTCCAAATTCGATAGGACTGTGAAGCTATATTTATACTGTTCTATGTATAATAATACAGATCCATAATTTGTTTTGTTTAGAGACTTATTATCAATTAAATAAAGGTACAAATATTCAAATCACCACATAATTTCGAGACAGCCTTTGAATAGATGATGTCGCCTAAAAGCATGCTACAAATTTTATAATAGTCACAATTCAGCTAACAGCCACCTGTTGCTCATGATTTTGAATGTGGAAGCAAGTAGGCGTGAGTGTGTGTGCAAAGCCAAGAATCCGAGTATTTAGTAACAGCTTAAGCGCTGCCCCACACTTGCCCCCCCCCAAAGTGCTACAGCAAGACAATTAAAAGCGACAAAAACGCATTAAAGTGGCATTAGAATGCAACGGGAGAAGGAGCCGACGGTGCGAGCAGTATTGGATTTAATTCGCTCTCTGTGGCATTTCAAACAACGGCGATACGTTGAGGCATGCTCGGGGGCCATTGTCTATAACTAAGCACACAAGCTTGCGCAAGGAAACTACTATTCCAGCTCCGATGTCACTGGAAGGCGGTAGAGCCGCCCCTAAAGCGTTGCCAGAGCTTGAGGCCTGGGTGCCGCCTACCATCATCAACAGGCGGTTGAAGCTTTGTCCTTTTGTAGTCCTGCACGCGCAAGCGCCAAACTGACATACTAACACAAATGCAATCCGAGCCATCGGACAAGCGCAGTGCGTAGGTGGCGGTTACTGTGGTTGTTATTGTCGACGTCGTTATTGCACGAAAGTGAAAGCTGCGCCTTTCAAACTGTTGCGTCGCGCAACATCATGTTCGGAATTCGGACCAAAATCAATAGATGTAAAGTCTATCGCAATTCAAACAGCTGTCAGCCTTCGTCGAAAAAGCCAGCCAGCCTGTTCGCTTTAGAGATTGAAAAGAGAGACACATTAGTGAATTTATTCTTCAAGCAAGATTGTCAGCAAGATGGTGAGAAATAAACATTTATATTTATTGTAATATTTTGGAAACAAAAGCCATTTCTACAAATGACTTTGTCTTCATTTTGTTTAAAATGTACACAAAAATCTATAGTTATTTTATTATTTGCTTAGTTTGCTGAGTGCCTTAGAGTCCAGGAAAACAAAATATGCAAATGTTATTCACCTAAAATAAAGTTTTCTATATAATATATATAAAATAGGAAATGTTATATATGTTATGTATGATAAGAACTATAAAATGTGGTATTTTATTTAATTTTTTTGTTTTTTTGAAAATTCAAAATTAAAATATTAATTTTCTACCATATTTTGAAATACTCGTAACTTGTTGTAATAACTTGCCACACCTGTAATAACCTTTACTGCCACTACTGTGCCTGTCACACAAGTTGACTATTGACATTTAAACTTCAAACACTGTGCTCTTTTTTATGGGAAAAGCATGCGAAGGAGCTTTAAAAGCTTTCCCTTAATGGCGAGTGTGCCTAACCTACAGCACACGCACACTGAGAACAGAGAACCGTAAGCGAAATGCGTAGGAATTTGTAGGCAATAAACTGCTGCCTTTGTACATGGATACACACATATATACAAGATATACATACACATACATATGGCTGCCTACATATGTTCGTCGAAACTCCGAAGAACGACAGCGCCAAAGCAACCGCGCTTGAAC